CAGGCTAGTTTTCTTCCCTGGGCTCAAGTTCTCAACAACTGGGGCTGGAGGTTTTGAAGAACGCTGCTGCCTCGAGTTCCTCCCGTTTGAAGACCGGAGTGGGGTCCTTCCTGCTCTGTACCCCAAGTGTTCCTGCCTACAGCCTAGGCAAGAAATGCCCAAGCGACAAGGGACAGAAAACTTGTCGGACACCTACATGTGTGCCCTGCCACCCCCTCAAAAGTGAGGAAGCCTGCAGGACAGTTGCCGTCAGTCTCACCCCCAACCCAGCCTGGCCACATGCACTGCTGCTTTTCATGAAGCACTGACAGCCCCACTGCGGGACCATTGCAGTGCTGGGCTTGAACGAGTTAAGGCCACGCATGGAGATAGAGGGAGGTAAGGAGACTAGAGAAGGAAATGGCAACCCACTCCAGTGTTCTTGCCTGGAAAACAGTTCATGGGGTCGCAAAGAGTTGGACACGACTCAGCGACTAAACACAAGGTGACCAGGAGACAGGAGGGTTGAAACTGAACATGGAAGAGATCAACAAAGCCAGACACAACACCATAAATCAACTATACTTCAATAAAATACATTAAAAGAAAAAAAAAAAGGAAAGCCAGACGCCTACGTGGTCTTTTTTCCATTCTCCTTTATTTCATAAACACCTAGTTACAAGTTGCACAAATCAAAAAATAAAGGCAGAGAGGGTGTGGGGAAGACCTTTGTGATGTGAAGCGGGTAGGAAGGGAAAAAGGGCTGGGGACAGGTCCTTTCCCTCCACACACAGCTCTGGATGAGGGCTGTGGCCCCCTACAGTAGGGGATCTGAGGAAGAGGTGGGCAGAGAGCCAGGGTCACTGGGGCCCCTAAACCCAGAGCTCACCCTCAAAGCCCCTTCAATGCATGGCAGGAGCAGAACGAGGAAAGGAAGGAGATTCAGAGACGGAGTAGCAAAGTGAAAAATCAAGTCATTGTGGTAAAGAGGTTAAAGAAGGAAAGGAAAAAGGGCAGTGAAAGGTTCTCCCTGAGACCCCCAGGGAGGGGCTGGGGCCAGCTTGCCTGTTAATTTAATATTAAATTGGGAGTGGGCGTTGAAGAGGAAAAGTTATCTCAGGGGATGACATCTCAGCCTCTCAGCTTGTACCTGGGGTGGGAAACAGAAACACACAAATTAAAAGGAAGACAAGATACAGAAGCCAGGAGTTCTGTCTTTCCGTACCAATTAGAACTTCTACTTGGGGGCTTCCCTGGTGGTTCAGTGGCTAGGACTCTGTGCTCCCCATGCAGGGGACCTGGGTTTGATCCCTGGTCAGGGAATTAGATCCCACATGCTACAACTAAAACTTGGTAACAGCCAAAATTTAAAAAAAAAAAAATTTTTTTTAATAAATACAAAAAGATAAAAATAAAAAACCAACCTATTCTACCAACCAAGGTGGTGGTTGCTGGGTACCTAGGCTTCTTCTGCCACAAGGCTGAGTGATGCTCACATACTACATGCCTCACCCCGTCCTGTCCCTGACCGCCCGGTGGTACTTACAAGAGATACAAGAGAGGCCGAGGGCCCAGGGCCCTCACCAGTCGTAGCGGCGGGACTGTCGGGATGGGGAGTCCTCGGGTCCCTGTATAGCCAGGCGGGGAGGCCCCTCAGCCCTTCGTCCTCCGCCCCCGGAAGCCTCATGCCTCCGAAATTCCAAAGGGCGCTGCTGCCGGAATCGGGAGGTCTCCCTCCGCCACTCGTCATCAAACGCTGCGGCCTCACCTGAAGAGGACAGAGGAGACCACACGGGGCACCTGAATACCACCCCACTTTCCAGGCAGACCCGCGCCCGATGCAGGGTTGAGCCACAGGCTCTGAGACCAACACCCAGAGAGAAGGCTGAAAGGCCTTGGGGCAGGGAGCGGGTGGGGAGGTGAGAGGCGAAGTTGGATTCACCATGGTCTCCCGAGGCCAGGAGCAGGAAATCAGGAATGGATACTTAGTTAAGGAGCATAGTCCCATACACACCATAAGTATTTAATAAATGTTGACTGATTTGAAAGAAATAAAGACGAGAAAGGAAGGCACTGATGGAATAGGGTAGATTATCTGACTTAGGTGACAGAGTTTGCCCTCCCCGGTGAGGCCATCTCCTGCACTGACTTAGCCCTAAGCTAACAAAGAGGCTCCAAGTAAGTGAAGAACATGGAGCTCATCCATAATGTTGCCCAAGAAATAGGTACAGAGCTAGGGAGCATGCATGAGGGCTCAGTCCTGACTTGACTCTGCGACCCCATGGACTGTAGCCCACCAGGCTCCTCTGTCCATGGGATTTCCCAGGCGAGAATACTGGAGTGGGTTGCCATTTCCTTCTCCAGGGGATCTTCTCGACCTAGGGATCGAAGCAGGGAGAAAAAGCTGCCATTTCTCAGCTCACGAGACGGGGGCTGGTGGCAGGAAGCCGGCAGGCTGGAGCTGGAAGGGGGCTTACTCTCGTCCAGGTTGATGTAGTCCTGCCGCTCCTCCTGGTCCCCCGTGCGGTGGTTTCGGGAGCGCTGGAGGATGTGAGCCCTGTCCCGGATGTGATGCCCGATGGACATCTGCTCCAGCCCACTGTCGGAGTCGCGCACGGTCCGCCGGGTCTCCCGGATCTGGGGGAGGTGGAGCGCCACATGCTCACTGGATCCTTCCAAACCTGGCTATGCCAGCCCGGAAACACCACCCGGGACCCCCTCTTGAAAAGAGCCAGCCAGGCCACCCGACCGCGCCTCCCTGGGATAGGAGGAGCCCTCCAACTCACCCCGCCTGGGGCCGAGCGCATCTCTGATGTCTCTTGGTAGACCTTGGGGGCCCCGTCACCGGTGTTGGAGTAGGAGATGACGGTGGAGGAAGAGAAGGTCTGGCAATTGCCTCCGGCTGTCATGTGCTCCTGGGGAGGGAAGGGAATGGCAAGGCTGAGTGAGCAGGGGCTGGCTTCTGGAGCAGGGATCCCTCCCTGCAGCTCCGGAGCAAATGTGAGGACTCAACATCACTACCCCCCCCCCACCCCCCGCCCGCCAACCCAATCCCTCTGAGTCCAACAATAAGCCAGGTGGACCTGGAGAGACCGAGCTTTAACTGCCCATTTCATGAGATGCCAGCCGCTGCTTTCCACTCAGAACCCCTGTGCTCTCCGGGTCTGGCCATCTTATCCAGCTTGCATGCCTCCGTGAACACAGCCTTCCCCACTCCCACCTCCCACCACCAGGGCCTCGCCAGGGGAGGCGGACACAAGACCCTTACCATGTTGCCGATCATGTCGTTCATCATCCCAAACATGTCCATGAAGCCGCCTGACTGGAGCAGAAAGGAAACCGAGTCAGGTTGCTGAATTCAGGCTCCCACAGGTCACCTGGCTACACGTTCCCTCTCTCCCCTTCCTTCACATCTGGCAGCGGCTCCTCCTCATTCCTCATGAGCAGGAGCAGGACAGGTGTGCCTCTCTCCACACTTCCCTTCCCACCCACCCCGCCCTCCTCCTCGGGCTCTGTGGCTACTAGGATCCCATCTTTTTCCTGCCTGCCTGACCTATTTCCTCCTACTTTTAGGAAGCAAGTCAGTGTTACTTGAGTCTAACCTATAAAGGGGTTGGTTCTGAAGCTGTAGAAAAATCTACACATCATCTCTAGTTGGCCCTCCAACAGCACCTCCCTCCTCAAAAGATGACATCTTGCCAGGCAATTATATCTCCCTAATGGGCATGACTCCTAGAAGCACAGGAGTCAGTAAGTTAGCGTCATCAGCTCACAGGACTCAGCACACAGCAGGCCTGGAGATCTGTGAGCACATGAAGACTCTAGGGTTACCAATTAGCCTATATTTCAGAGAGGCAAATTTGGAACTAATATCTAAGGGTTACAGAGCATGTTTGAGATGGACGGATGCAGGGAGATGAAGACTTACCATTCCCAGCATTCCAAAAGGGGAGACAGCCCCAGCCTACGGGAACATGCCAAGAATAGAAGTTAGAGGCCACATGCGACCTCACCCTCCCAAACCAAGCCCATGGCCTCCCTTGCTTTCTTCCATCCTCCTCTCAAAGGAGCATCACAAAGCCTGTCTTCCACACCCCTTTCCCCACTCCTAGAAGGCATGCCACTTGCTAAGTCAGCCAGCATGCAAGAAAAATAAAGCACTGCATTAACCACCCTCCCACCTTTCCTTGAATCTCAGGTCTGTGGCGGCACCATTACCTGCATCCTGCGGCTGGCAGGCCGGGTCCCTGGCAGATTGCCATCTGTGATGCTGAGGAAGGGGCTATATCCAAAACCCCCTGACAACATCCGGTTCATGTGCTGACGGTGAATGGCAAAGGGGTCCCTGTGCAGGGAGAGTACAGAGCAGATGGCAGAAGGGGCAGCGGTCAGCACCTCCCCGCTCCCCCCCCACCCCAAGAAAAGAGCCATAGGGAACCAGCAGCACAGACATCCCCTCCAAGTCTAAGCTGGAGCTTAGAGTGGCCACCCAGGCGTGATCCAAGCCCGCAACGGGAGCCCAGGCGTCTATCTCAACTATTCAGAAACTGAAGTGGACCGATGTGTGCTCTGGAGCAAGAGGGGGAGGGGATACTCACATCAGGAACATGGGGTCCTCGGGCTCCACGTCCCTCATGAAGCGGAACATCCTGATTTCAGCTCCAGGGAGCTCCACACTGTGAAGATATGGAGGCTTAAAGGTTGGAAGCGGCCAGGCTTTTTGCACACCCGCTCAGGGCAGGGACTCTCAGAGCGTGGTCCCTTCCAAACACTGTAACTGGCCCCCAAACTCCAGGGAGACCCTTCTCCAGGTGTTCAACATCAGCCTCTAGGGAGAGCAGAGCTCTTCAACCCTCTCTCCGAAGGAGGACCGTGGAAAATTTTCCCGAGCCTGTTTTCTGCCTCCCCCACTCAGAGCCATCCTCTTCCCAAAGCCACGGCCAAATGCACACTCCCCTAACCCCCGACGCCACCTTTCCGGATGCGAATCTCAAGTGCCGCCCCCCACCCCCGCCCCATAAATGACCCCAACCACTCCGCTCCCTTCTCACACCCCGGCCGTCGCCAGACCTCCCCCGGATGGGCCTCATCGTCCCCGCCGCGCCTGGCGGCGCTCCCCACCCCGAACCCTGCTTTCCTGCAGGGTGAGCAGGAGAGGCAGGCTTGACCCGCTCCCCTCCCCGCATCCCAGGCTCCCGGGGACCCTGCAGCCCGGCGGGCCGCTCCCGCCCCGGACTGGCTGCCCGCTCCGCTCGAGCCTCACCGGTCCCCGGTCCGGGCTCAGCGGCCCATCCGGCCGGTCTCGCCTCTCGGTGCGCGGCAGGATCGGGGCTAGCGGCCCGGGACGCGGGACTGGTCCAGGCGTGAGCTCCTCGGCCTCCCGCACCGCCTCCTCTCACAGCTGCCACCTCCGTGCACCCCCCCCGCGCCGTCGGCCCACAGAGCCCAAACCCCAGCCAGGCCCGGACGGAAGTGACGTCACGACGGGACGGCCCACCCCAGGCCGGGCCTGCGGAGCTCCGCCCACCGGCGGGCGTGGGGCGCGCGCGGGGCCGGCTCCCAGGCCTAGCTGCTGGGGTCGCTGGGTCCTCCGGGACTCGGGGAGCGGAGGCCTCGTTAGTAACCTGAATTTGGGTTTTGTGGCCCCGAGGAGGCTCCCTATCAGGGTGTGGGGGAAGGAGCAGCGGAGTCCATCGCCGGGAGGGGAAGAGGACGGGGGCAGGTTCCCCCGGGCAGGGCAGGCTCCCAGTGGGTGACGAGGTGGGGCGGATCCCTGGGAGAGCTTTCAGCAGATTTCTACCGGGGAAGCATTCATGCCGAGCGGGAGGAAGGACGGCAGTTCTGCGGGGGAGGTGCTGGGGCCTGTCCCCTCGGGAGGAGGCGCGTTCCAGGCCGGGGCGGCGTCCTCGGAGTGACGTAGCGGGAGGAGGTGACAGTGCTGCCCAGGTCTTCCTCTGGCTTCGAGAACTCGGGCTGGGGCATGGAGGATCCAGGCTGGGGGTCCGGCCGCCAGATGGCGCCCTTCGGCCGGGCTGGAACTGCAGCCCCTGGGAATCTGACATTGGCGGGGCTCTGGGGACCCCCCCCCACCCCCGCTGCCCCCAGTTACCCTGCTGTGAGGAGTCAGACTGGGGAGAGAGTTCTGAAATCTTTTCATTGAATGCCAACCTTCCCTTTCTTTTCTCTGAGTATCCTCAGGAGCTCCCAGTCCGCAATGATCTTTTTTGCCTCCAGTCAGTCAGGTTGGTAGGTAGGTCGAGGGAGAAGAGAACTCCCGGTTCACCAAACTCACCGAGGGGCCGAGTTGCGAACAGGCCCAGGAGACCTGACTCGAAGGTCAAAGGCTGACACTTTGACATACTAAATGTGTTGCATAAAATCCGGCTCAACTGGAGAGAAGGGCCCTGCCCCTGGGTGTCCAGGGATTTGGGCTGTCCAGGCTGGACTTTAGACCGGACTCATCCAGACGCCAGCTCGCCTGGTTCTTTACACTGGCCGCTAGCCATGTTAGTGCTCTGTGGGCCTGACAGCCAGAGAAACTTGTTCCCATCTCCAGCACTTCCCTGGAGAGGAAGAGGGGTTGGTCCCTGGTGACTCAGGAAAAGGTAGTTACGAGTGGGGCTTCTCAGGTTTCTTTGGACTTGATTATTATTAAAGAGAGGAAAAAACAAAAACAATAGTGACAACAGAGGGGAACAGAGACAGAGAAATTAGAATTTGGCAGACTGGCAAAGCCAAAGAAAGAATAAAAGAAAATGTGTTTTCCATTGATATTTATGGGGAATAGACTTGGTAAAAGCTTTTGTCTTCCAAATGCTCTATCTCTGAACAGTCCACCATGCCAGTGCCCCTTCCTCTTGCCTCCAAACAAAAGCAGTGTGACAAGTGGTTAAGAGTTATCCTGGTCAGAGTTCTGCAGCTCAAACTTGGTGAAGTGTGAGCCTCACCTTCCATCATCTCCGTCCCCGTTTCATTATGTCCAGCCTACCCAGAGTTGGATAGCAGATGCAGCTAGTCTTCTAGTCTTCTCCTTTGGTCTTCTTCCATTACCTGGTGTTCTCTGTTGTTGTTTAGTCACTAAGTCATTTCCGACTCTTTGCGACCCCATAGACTGTAGCCCTCCAGGATTCTCCGTCCATGGGATTTTTCAGGCAAGAGTACTGGAGTTGGTTACCATTTCCTCCTCCAGGAGATCTTCCTGACCCAGGGATTGAATCTGTGTCTCCAGTGTCTTTTGTATTGTAGGCAGATTCTTTCCACTGAACCATTGGGGAAGGTGCCTAGAGCTCTTTTTCTTCTTCCTTCCAAGACTTAAGAATCTGACATTGGGGACTTCACTAGCCATCCAATGGTTAAGACTCTGCTTTCACTGCAGTGGCCATGGGTTCCATCCCTGGTCAGGGAACTAAGGATCCAGTATGCCACAAGGCATAGCAAAAAAAAAAAAGAAAAAACAGAAAACTCTGATATCAGTCAGTTTTACTTCTGCATGATTTTTAATCAATCACTTCCCCTAAGAATAACTACAAATGACAGTTTAGCATCCATCTATGACACAAAGGTCTAAACCTAGGCTTTCTCTCAGGTTAAAAAGAGAGCTTTGAAGAGGTGGGGATGAAGGAGGAGATGCAAGAGTTCATTCTCAGTATGCCCAGCAATGGACTATATAGGCAGCCATCCACTCCAGGAATTGAAGGAATGTAATTTTACAAGCATCCTTTCTCCAGACAGAGTTTGTATCTGTTTTCCTTCTCTGTCGCCTTCCTATTCCTTCCCTTCCCTCCCCCACTCACTACCTTCTCTTCCTTTCTTCCTTCTTTCCCTCCTTCCCTTCATCCCTCCTTCTTTCCTTTTTTTTTTTCTTCTTTCCTTTCTTAAATATGTCTCTGTCCCGTAAACTCTGATGAACAGAAATTCCTCAGTCATCAGAGTTTCCTATAGATGATAAAATGTAGGAGGGAGGGTGTGCCTAGTCCCAGGTGAGACTGGATAAGCATTGTTGGGAGGAAGAGAAACAGTTTCTCCTCACTGCTTTATGTGATGAAGCCAAAGTTGGGACGTCCTTGAGAGGGGAAAGAAAGTGTTAGTTGCTCAGTCATGTCAGACTTATCGTGACCCCATGGGCTGTAGCCCACCAGGCTCCTCTGTCCATGGGATTCTCCAGGCACTAATAGTGGAATGGATTGCCACCTCCTTCTCTAGGGGATCTTCCCAACCCGAACCCAGGTCTCCCACATTGCAGATGGAATCTTTACCATCTGAGCCACTAGGGAAACTCAGAGGGGAGATCTAGGTCAGAAAAGTGCTCTTGTCAGATGTGAGGTTTGGCATCTGGAACAATCCCAGGGCAGCTGGCTTCTGGGGTGATGGTGGACTTAGGGGACACTGGATTCCAACTTGAGCTAACATGAATGGGTGTGACTGAGTGTATGTGTGTGTGTGTGTTGGAGGAGGGAGATAAATCCTGACATTGAGCACTAAGTTGCCCCCAGGAAGAGAGAGTGAGTTGTATAGTGGACACCAGATCAGAATGAGATTGAAAAATGGCTTAGGAACAGTATCTTAAGTCTAGCTTTTCAGTTTGTTTTATATCCATGTCCACTCAACAAATATTTATTGAATACCTACTGTGTGAGGCTTCCCAGGTGGCGATAGTGGTAAAGAACCCGCCTCCCAATGCAGGCAACGTAAGAGACGTGGGTTTGATCCCTCAGTTTGCAAGATTCCTTGGAGGAGGGCATAGCAACCCAATTCAGTATTCTTGCCTGGAGAATCCCAGGGACAGAGGAGCCTCACAGGATACAGTCCATGGGGTCACAAAAAGTTGGACACAACTGAACGACTAACACTTTCATTTTTTACTTTCCAGTAGTTAGAATTCAGTGCTTTCGCTACTGTGGTCCCAGGTTCAATCTCTCATCGGAGAACTAAGATTCCCTACAAGCCATGAGGCACAGCCAAAAATAAATAAAATAAACAAAATTTTTAAATGACTCCAGGTTTTTGTTTTTGTTTTTAATTTGGGCAATCTGAATGAGAAATAAATGACCATTCTGTATCAGGACAGGCTTGAGAACATATGGAAATTACGTCTAGCTGAAATTCTGATTCTGACCACGTGGCTACACAGGGTAACTGAGTGGACAGTCTTCTCTTTATTATTATTTTTTTAAACTATGTATTTTATTTTACAGCCACGGCACATGGCATCTTAGTTCCCTGATGAGGGATCAAACCTACGCCCCCTTGCTTTGGAGATGCAGTCTTAACCACTGGACCACTAGGGAAGTCCCACAGTCTTCTCTTTAGATTGAGCCACCTGAAGCAGGAGGAGGGCAACAGAAATACAGGAATCTTGAGGCTAGTTCAAGTATCAGATATGAGATGTTGGATCATCTTGGGTAGATATGCTAATATTAATGGTTGGCATGAGCACTGGAGTTTTAAGTCTTAAGAACTTCCTGTTGTCCCTATCATTTCAAGGAGCCATCCCTAAGGAGGCCATGTATCTCATGACTAACATGGGCTTTAAGGATTGAAGTTTGTGCTACCTGTGTGGTGAAAAGTGAAAGTGAAAGTCACTCAGTTGTGTCCGACTCTTTGCGACCCCATGGATAATCCATGGGATTCTCCAGGTCAGAATACTGGAGTTGGTAGCCTTTCCCTTCTCCAGGGGATCTTCCCTACCCAGGGATCGAAACCCAGGTTTCCCACATTGCAGGTGGATTCTTTACTGGCTGAGCCACAAGGGAAGCCTGTGTGGTAGTTCCTGTCAATAAACATTTATGGAGCTCCTATTATGTGCCAGGCACAGTGCAAGGTACTGAGGATGAAAGACAAATAGGACATGGTCTCTGCTCAGCAGGGTTCACAGCCACAGTGAAGTGGCCAACATGGAGTTGATGAAAATCCAGGGATGAAAGCTGCCATAGAAAGATAAAGATGTATATTCAAAGCGGAAAGGTGATTCAGAAAATGGAGAGGGTGACTTGGGAACTGGGGCGGGGCAGCCAGGAGAGCATTCTAATTTTTTGGAGGGGGCTGCCCCGTGATCATGTGGGACCTTAGTTCCAAGATCACAGATCAAAACCACACCCACTGCATTGGAAGCATGGGGTCTTAACCACTGGTCTGCCAGGAAGTCCCCAGGAGGTCATTTTAGGTTGAAGGTAAGATCAAAGCAAAGGCATTGGGACTCCTCTGGCCATCCAGTGGTTAAGACTTCATGCTTCAATGCATGGGTTGTGGGTTCAACCCCTGGTTGGGGAACTAAGACCCCACATGCTGTACAGTATGGCCAAAAAATAAAATAAATTTTAAAAAGAAAAAAGCAAAGGCACAGAGGTAGGCTTCATTGGGGAGGAGCTATGAAGAGTTAAAAAAAAAAAAAAGCCAAAACAAAACATTTGAGGGAATCTTGATGACAGCCAAGGCTACAGAGGTTAAAAGGGACCAGATCTTGAAGAGCCGTATTTACTTCTGGACTTTATCACTGGCCTGGGGAAGCTATCAGAAGGTTTTATGGAGGGAGATGACAACAGTCTACTTGTATTTTGGGTAGAAAGGCAGTTTATACATTTCAGCAAACATTTCTGAGTTACAATACACCATATACTGAG